AGTTTGGATGAGAGAAGGGGGACCAAAGAACAATGACAACACAAGCCGGGTGGGAAGTTTGCTGTAATTCTTCAATTTTGGAGGCTGTCAGCAGATGGAATAGCTGTTGCCTTGTTTAGGGTACTCAGGGTCGGCCCACAACATTTTGGCACCTGAGTTGGGGAGCTCAAATGGTGCCTCCTCGCTTGGGCCACAACTTTGAAAGGTCTCAATTCTCTGGGTCCTAGTGGCACCGCCCCCCCCCCCCCCAATAGTCTGGCACCTGAGGCGGCCACCTCAGTTCGCCTCATAGTAAGGCCAGCCCATTGGGTACTCTTCATGTAACCAGGAAACAGCACTTATTTGTCCTACCAAATCTCCACATCTGGTTATAAGCAGATGATTATAAAGTTTCAATAAACACCTGTCTGCTTGAACTTCCAGCCTTTCGTGAGGGGGAAAATGGCAAAAGGATCAGGTTTTGCAGTGTGCCAGAGTAGCTTTACAAAAAACATTCATTCTGAAGAAGCTATCAGAAATGGGAAGAGTATTTTTTTTAAATGCTAAACTGAAAACTGGCTACACCGATTTAAAAAAAATCTGTTTGCAGCATAGTTAGGCACAAGAAGTGACAAATGCTCAACAATCTGATCAATATCTGCTTTCATAAACAGGAAAAATTCCCCTCACAGGGAGAGGAAACGTGGGTTTTATTGCTGTGTTCTTCTCCTTGCTTTGGCCTGTGCTCACATCTTTGCTGCGTGTCAGTTAAAGAGTTTGAATTTACTTGTGACTATTGCTGCTGCCAAGTAAAGGCTATATGCTGACCTCAGTCAGTGCTGATGACTTCCATGTGCAAATACAGGGCAGTGTATGACCATGAGATTCTTGTTACGGTTTATCTGACAAATTGTGTTTCTGATTCAACTGCATTGCAAACAATGTTTGTAATAGAGAACTCTTATAATGTTAATTGATGCAGGCTCAGCAAAAAAGGTTGAGATTAAATGTGCAAGAATATTTACATTTCATTAGGAAAAGTCGCATCCTCTTTTAAGGGCAGGTATTCAGGAAAATATATTAGTATTGTCTGGGTCTCCGCATGTCATATGATCTGTCTGAAGTTATGCTGGACAGATATCTACCATGAATGCAAATGGTCTCCCAAGTGAGTGATTTTTAGTTTTAAAATCACATTTTTGACATTTCAAATGTGATGGGTTCTGTGCAAGTTTTTTTTTTTTTTCTTCATGGAAACTGCCCTTCAGTTTAACAGATGGCATCCTTCAGATATTACCAGCCCATAAAGTTGTCTTTTACTGGTGAATGTGGCTTTTAAGAAAAATAGAAGTAAAGCACTGTCTTTACATTTTTGTGTGCAATAAGTAAATTAAAACTTCACTGAAATTTTATTAAAATGACTTTCAAGGAATAGCTCAGTGGTTTGAACATTGGCCTCCCAAACCCAGGGTTGTGAATTCAACCCTTGAGGGGGCTGTTTAGGGATCTGGGACAAATCTGTCAGGGATGGTACTCCGTCCTGCCATGAGGGCAGGGGGACTGCACTTGATGACCTCTGGAGGTCCCTTTCGCCTCTATGAGATGGTATATCAAACTAATGAGAAGTAACATGAATTTTGTATGATGGGTGTTTAAAACTTTGGAAAAAACTGCACTGCCTTAAGACACAAAACTAATATTTCAGGTTTCTTAGCAAAAATGTTGTGAAAGGAAATATAGGGGAGGGTTTTTTCAAATTGCCCATTCATTTGAAGGACAGGGGCTGTAGAGATCTGACTCGTTTGCCTAGGTGTATTTAAAGAGAAAGTAGGTTTACATCTAGGATAATAGCTCACAAAAAGCATGATTTGGATTATAATATATCATCCCCTATAATATCCCTCTTCTGTACTGGCCTGTCTCACAAAATATTGTTTGTCAGGCTACAGTTAACTGATCCCCTCTGCCCCCCCAAAAAGAGGCAGTAGTAAATCTCCATAGCTCAGATCAACCAACTCAGGCTCACACTTATACAGAGATAAAAAGGACCGTGTAGACATTCCCACTTAGGCTGTGAGCGATAGTAGGAAACTTGTCTGGAACTGATATGTTTAGTCCCAGAGCTTGAGCCTCTCAAATGTGGGTCATACTGTGAGACTTGTGCTCCTATTTGTTTACAGTTCAGATATGCCCACAGAAACCTACTTCCTTTAGTAATTCATCACTGTATTCATTTTGCAAAAACTATATGTTTTCTTTGATCACTATGTATTAAATATGGGGGGGAGGGGTTAAGTCTGTTTTCAGCTAAGATGTTGCTGTAGTTTTGAATGACCAGAATTGGGGCATTAAACTCAGTGTCTTGACCAAGCCCAGGTTTGATTACATTATTTCCTCTTTAGTTTCAGTTGGATACAGTATTATTAACTTCCTGTCCTAAACCGTTCTCTAGAGTCTGTTTAACATGAAACAGCTGCTGTTTTCCACTTCATTGCTCTTGGTCTGTATTTCAGTTCAAAATAATCAAGTGCTTTGGGATCCCTTTGGGCGACAGATGGTCTAATATAAATACATGCTATATTATTACTAATAAATTCTAATTGCAATAATCTCTGCTAACTAGTACAAGAGTAGACGTGCTCTACAATAAAACCTTCCACTCACTCACCATCTCTGCAACTCTCGGCTTTGGCCTCCCCCCCCCGTCCTGCAAGTTCTTATTACTGTACTGACTAGAGTGTTTACCGCACTAAATAGTCCCATTGAAGACAATGCAGTTGATGAGACTACCTGCAGCACAACCCCCTCCAGCCAAATTGGGCCTATAGACTGTCCTGGGACTCAGCACATCTGCAAGAAGCACTTATCAATTGGCATCTGCCAGTCTTTGGTATGCTAGTGAAGTCATTAATGTAGTAGTTCTAATATTTTTAAGGATAAGGAACTGGTATACAGGCATTATAGCTTTTAAATGATCATTTTGTACTGATTTATGTTACAGTAGATCTAGGAGCCCGGATCAAGATTCAGAACCTAACTAGGCTCCAGACAGGGCTAGTATCAATACAGATAGTCAAAGCCCCAGAGAGCTGACATTACACCTCCCTAAACGGGGACTTTCTTGTCTGGCAGGACCACAGATGTTCCTGGGCCAGAGAGCCCTGGTGGCTGGAAGTCAGACAGCAGGAGGGCTGGCTGCTGAGAGCCCAGTGGGGCTAGCAGCAGCCCAGCCGGGGAACCAGGGCCACGTAACAGGTGGGCTAGCAGGGGAGCCGGGGTTGGGGTTTAGCAGCAGGGGAGACAGGGTCACGTGGTAGCCCGGCAGGGAGGCCGCGTCAACTGGGAAACCAGGGCCCTGCAGCAGAGGGCCAGAGCTGCACACACTGGGGAGCTGAAGCTGAGGCCATGCGGCAGCCCACAATGGGAGCTGGATGCAAGGCCACTACAGTGCAGCAGGGGGTCTGGGCTTTGGCAGCCTGGTAGGGGGGAGAAGGGGACGGCAGCCTGGCAAAGGAGCTGTGCTGGGCTAGGACCATCAGTAGGCAGCCCTGCTGGGGCCGTTAGCAGGGTGATCAGCCAGAGCCAGCGTCAGACTAGAAAGCCAGCAGCAGGGGACCTCCCCTGGTCTGGCAATTTGGGACCAGTCAGGTCCCAAGGCTGCCAGACCAGGGAGGTCCAACCTGTAGAAAGCATACCATACTGGTATGAAATGGGGTGGAGGTGGGGGATTTGGTAACAAGAACACAGTTTGCCATTAGAGAAGTCTATCAGAATGTCACTTGCCAAGATGGAAGTGATTTGTAAGCATCACAGGAGAGGCAGGTTTCAAGGAGGGATTAAAAGGAGCTCGGCACATTTTAAAAGGGGTTTCCCCCACATATAGAGGGCTGGGGTGGAAGCTCTCCTGCAGCCCCCCAATTGACTCCCCCCCCCCCTCCC